AATGACGTAAGAATGCAAAATGTGGGCACTGACGAAGGCAAAAGAAAATGTACTGGCTGTGACGTAGAGAGCAGAGGAACGAAAGATGCTTAGAATATCTCTTCGTGACCTATCGACAATAAAACACTCCGCAAAATGAGTGGCCTGCAAGATATCGTGCGAGCCATGAGAGAAAGCAAGATCCGTTTGGTGGCAGGCCACGTCGCATGTCTTTATGACAACCGACGGACCTCGCGTATTGCCGAATGGTACCCGAGGGAAAAAACGACCATGCGGGCGACCTCCGATGAGGTGGCGGACATACATAGAAGAAACAGCGGGAAGGGACTGGATACAAATTGCCAAGGATAAAATGGCCTGGCATGATTGTGCTCGGTGTGCAACATCCAAGAATTTATACTGAAGCCAGAACAATTTTGAATCTTAATATTTTTAGCGTAAAAATTTTATTTAAATAAACTGTTCGTAAGCTTTGATGGAAAACTAGTGCCTAGATTTTCTTGAAAATTTCTTTTGAGGAAGACCCAAAATTTTGAAAAATATTAACATTCGCTGAAATGTGGCTTACGCAGACGACATCCAGATTCTCCCCTTACCAGAAATTTTTCAATCTATTCTCTAAGCGCTCAACAAGACTTCGATTTCATGGCAAAAGATGAAAATATAATGCCTGGGAACGGGAGCGGCAATCAACGATGTTCATGCAGACAGCCACATATTTCAAATTGTGATAAAGTTCTGTTGCCTCAGAAACTTACAAAACTTATATGGAAGTTGCAGATCCGAAGTGCTGTTTCGTCTGCATCCGCCATTAACATTATATTACGCGTCTGGTCATCAAATGCCTTCTTGTAACCTATCCAGTTACGGATCTACTAGGACTGCATTTCACCAGTTATGCTATAGGTAGCCGAGACCTAGACGGTGCAGATGGCGAGCGCAGACCACCTGCAAGCCTTCCACATGAAGAATCATAGGCTAGTCCTCAACATCAGGTGGCATGACTCCATCAGCAACAATATCGTCCGCCGAATTAACTGGACTGCCCGTCATCGATGACAATTCACTGACGAACAGGGAGAGACCGGTCACAGAGGTGTCTGTCCTGTACTCTCGATGCAGGTGTAAAATTCCCAACGGGACCCACCGTCGCCTTCGTGGCGGCCCAGAGGGAGGCCACGGGGAACATATACGAAACAACTCGTTCGGACAGGGCCGCCGATTTCTGAACGGTTTAACGCCGGCATCAGCAAAGGTCATAGTTTATTAACGTAACTGTCCTAACACCGATCTCGCGCCTTTCGCTGTGTTGTATAATCAAACTTCCAGTTGACTACATACTAGATATTTAAGGCACCAATGGTACGAAAAACGGTAAAAACAATTTAACCTCGTTATTAGTATGCATGAAGTCATCTTTCTGCCTAACTAGCACTTTCAGTTGTGCTTAATGACACTTGGAGCGCAATTATATGACACGTTCATTTATACACATGCATGCATACGATGCATCGTGTCCTATGTTCACAAGGTATACAGGATAACGAGAAACGATTCTGAGGTAACTTCTCCAGAAAAAAATAATCAGCCTCGGTTAACTGAATTTTTTTGCGAGCTTCCGCACTCAGAACATAATACTGTTAAACAGAAAATGGTCAAAGCCAGGAAGAGTTTGATAAAGAATGTCTTCCGAAGACCACCATTTTCAGGATAATAGATCTGTCTTCTGTGAAAGAACTGTCTGACTGCATTAAGGCCATAAGCAATAGAAATTATTCAATGCAAAAACTGTCAAACGCCTGGAATGATTCTTTATTTAAAGTAGCGGAGCTATTAAAACCAGTCAGTACGTTGAAAAAACAACACCGATTCAGGTTTCCAAAACCTATGCCTCCTTAAAGAACTGCTCCAGATCTATAATCGCTTCGAACTGAATCAATAAAAATTGATTGACTGCTAGCAAAATGAGTCAATAACCACGAGTTAACTTCGTGGTAAGTATTCAGTCGTTTTAACCTTTGCATTAGATATACTTCGATTACTGATCGCTCTCTACAGCGTATATCAAACGTTAGACTTGCATACGAGCAAACCAAGGTACTATTTTTGGTCATATTTGGTCGCTGAGCAAAATACCGCAGGAAGCCGAAGGTATTACAAGGCAGTGGTGAAAATTCTTGGTTTCATTTTCAACCTAATTTACCCATGTCACTCAATCTGACATCATTAAGTGTTTCATCAATGTCATCCCTCCTAACCGAGGCAGATGACAATGAAGCAATGATAACTTAGCAGTTTTTGCATCGTCAACAAACCTCAGAACATTCTCAGACAGAAGGTCCATCCTAAACGTTCACAGATAGTTTAACCTGGGCGCTTGGAATACCTGGGAAACTGTCAACCTCGTGAATCGCGCCACCGAATAAGAAAAACTGAGAAAAGAATGTCCGTAACTATTAACATGTCGTCTCAAATTAACATAATTTGTGAAGTTCTTTCATGAAGCTTATGGTGCTGCATCGATCATCATTTCTAAACCAGCAGTAAGAAGTGTCCACTTTATTAAGGGCACCCAATAGAATGAACATCGTGTAGTAACTGTAGGGTGTTCTTCAATTCTTTGAAAGATTCTTGCTACCGTTAACAAAAGAAACATTTCTGAATGATCGCATGATTAGTCATCACAAACTGTCATGCTCGTTTTAAATTCACGGTCTGAACTGAGCCAAAGTCTATCGAATGTTCTCTTGTAGTCACGTGGACACCATACCATCGCCGACGAATGATACAGGTCTTCCGATTCAAAGGTTGGCAGCACAATAAAAAAAATGTTTTGTACACAAGAATTTCAATGTTCCTATCGAATCTACATTGGCCATCATCAGGGAATGATCAATTCGTGATGAAAACTCTGAATTTGTTTCTCTCTTAGTAGTTAATCTGAGCCATTCACCATCTTTTCTAGCTAAAAATACACTTTAGCAGTCAAACATAGCTACAAGTTACGTTCTATCAAAAAAAAAATACGGTTCTTCTTGCTATAGAGGGTTTGTTTTCAACAATGTCAACGATTCTCGCATACATCTTCCATACTGTAAGACACTAGTAACTAATCTTCGAGCAGACGTAATAGACCACAACAATTAGCGGCCCTGCCACATATTCTGTGAGTTCGTCCATTTAATAACTGCAAATAGAAATCACAGCTGGATGTACGAATTCATCATTCATTATTTTAATATTCACTCTTTTGACTCTACCCTTCGTTTCAGTGTCGTCAGCGGACCACCAACAAGTTAGCATTCAAATGCATTTCATCTGGCGAAATCACTAGGTAATTAGACTGGATAATATTTTTTTCACGCCGCTTGAGAAACAACCATTCGAAATTTAATGGTTTACTTAAAGTGGATCTTCATACATCTAGATCTATGTACTGCATACTTCTCAAAGAATTTTAACGCTCAAGTTTTCAATTCCCTACTTTTCTAACAATTGGAAAACTGCACTGCATCCTGTAATACGAAATAAAATGTCTCTTCAAAAGCTACAAGATCAAGTAGATTTGCATTTTATATTCTTAATAAATTTTCGAGAAGTTGAATTAACCACAAATCCTCAAAAATTCCTTTTGATTCTGATTCCATAACTGATCAGCTAAAAGCTTTCTGAAATGTGGGACACTAAAACATGAAAAAGCATCACAGCTTTATTTAGCAGTCATGTGATTCTTTATCGATATCTGTAACATCCCTGAAAAAGAAGTTAGATCGATATCTCGGAACAACAAGATGCTCTTAATAACTTAATCCAGAGTAATACTTGCGTGCTATTCAGGAGAGGAGATCAAATGTTACGCAGGAGATTAGCATATGCATACAAACTTTGAGTTATATAAAAAGATGAGGAATACATGCTGAAAATTTGCTGTTTCCGTCCCAGTATACTAAAGAACTTTATTACAGCCTTATCCCTGTTTCGTCCCTGTAAATCATGGAAAAAGATTATTGCTGAAGTGAAGATACTTAACAACTGTTTGGTATGCACCTTCTGAGTATCCATTGTAACTGCTATCGACTGCGAAGAGATACTTCGGATATATACTAAGCCACCTGTATGACTCATTAAATAAATTTCGAATGTCACAGCTTATTCTACAAACTCAGTTGAGAGTTTCAACTGAGTTACTACCAAGGAACATTTCAAATAGAATCATCTTCACTATTGCCTCAGCTTTGCAGCACAGAGTAAATTCGATTTTCATTAATTGTTTCTGACCGGTTCTAAAACATCACGATAAAATGGTATAGAATTTATATCTCAAAGATGAGGCAATTCAGTGCATAAAAGTCTTTACTGATAAGTTTTTAAAAAGAACTCGCGAAGCAGGTTCACTTTCACTTAAAGCCCTTCTTAAAATATTGTAGATTGTAACTGTGCAAAGACTTGCTTTTCATTGTATTTTCAAATAACTCAGGTGGGGTACTCAGAATTCTGACATCAACTATTGGTTTCAGATAGGCAACGAAGTCAAATTTCCAGTGACTCTTCTTGCCAGTACTTGTTTTGATCGCTGTTTCGTTCCGTTCACATAGGGTGTAAAGTCAGACCTCTGATCTTTGATTTACATTTGAGTGTTTTAACCATTTCAGCTGATTCAACATTAGAATACAGTGAGGGGTTGATAAATTATACTTAAATCAGATTTTCTCACTGTGCTTATCAAACTGCTTAATTAAGTAGTTTAAGGAAACTTGGACAAAAAGTCTGCATAAATAAATGGTAAATAAACATTTGATAGTGATAACAGGTTACAAGCTGAAACTACAAATTGCTCTATCGCAAATTCATCGTTTTAAAGAGTGATAAAAAGCACTTGCTTTCGTATTCAGGGGCGATGTAGTGCATCATGTTCAAATTCTCCGTGAATGTTTTCACGTTCTGCCGGATAGCGTCCGGAGCCACTGCAAAAACTAACACGTGAAGTCAAGATATGAAAGTTAAACAGATGGCGGGTGCACAGAACACATACCACATCCGATTTTGATCAAGCCATTATGTTGTATGAATATGGTGTTGCACGACAGGTTGCAGTGAATAACCGGTGAGTCGCAGGAATGGAGATATTCCAGGGCCCACAGAATCTGCGTACACCACTTTTTCCATGACTACAATTCAACGGAGAGTAGTAGGTTAAGCTGAAAGCCAATATCAGTGTCACATGCCGCCGTAGTACCTTGATATTCAGGGCTTTGTTGCCTTTACGAGTCACCTTAAGAAACTGGAACATCGAACCACACGACATATATTCTGTGATGAAGATAACCTAAAATCAATTTTCATCACCAGCATCGCCAATAAGCAATCGTGTGCACACCCTCGGATTGTCCGATTTTGTGTCGATCCAGTATTTGTGCAGCGTGATCAGATTTGGGTGGTTCAGCTGCATCAACCGATCAAACACCTTACGAATTTTATCCTAGAAAACCATGCACATACTTATAAAATAATATCAGTAATCATCGGTCGCATTCATTTTGCCAGATGTCAAAAAATTATAAGTTAATGCCTTTGAACAAACTAAAATCGAAAGTGAAAAGGTAGCAAAAACCTAAATGACGGCTTACCTAACAAGCAATACCATCTTAAAACAAAATAAATCGAATCGACACGTCTATTGCATATGGAGCAATTACCTCTTCAGCGCTACACAACTTCCTCTCGGAAAACTCCACCTCGTTCCATACGACCTCAACGCCGAGCTCCGTGTCCATGGCCAAATACGCCGCGTCGATGCCCGGTACGTCTCTCTGGCTCACCTGTACATAACGAACATTGCTCAGGAAACAGAATGAGCAGATGCAATTGACAGTTAATAAAAAAGAAAATCAACCTACCTTTTCTCGTCGCTTCTGCCACCGGCCACATGGGCTCTCCTCGAGCACTTGGTTTCCATCTTCGTCCGAATCGCTGCCAGCTGTGTTGTCCACCATGGACTTTCCCTTCTTAACGGCCTCCATTCGATTTGATCTCCCAATCACGCGTATGGCTAATTCGAGAATATGCTCGACATGTTAATTTGCAGTTTGAGGCCTCCTGCTGTCACACTTTCCAAAACACTTCGCAAACTCTACAACCATCGTTAACGACACAACAACCAACTTTCCGTTAATGATATTTTTCGAATTATCGAGCTATTCAAAAACAAAATTACAGTAGTCGTAACTGTAGTTACGAACAATAATTTTATTATGACAATTACTTATTAATATCAAGTAAACTACATTGATTCTAATACAACTTTCCAAACTTATGCAGCGGTGACTCCGACAACGATATGGAAAGATAATTTACCGGAATGTTTATCCATACTATCAAAGTGTCTGGCAATAAACTCAAATGAAATACTTAAGTCAGACAAGATCAGGAAGTACATTACGCTGCTGCGAGTTCAACTATTGCGTGAATGGTTGTAATGGCCATAGCAGCATGTGGAAACGAGTCTCATTACCTTCCGCTTTCTAGACGGTAATCCGAAGTTCGACTGACAAGTGATTGCTACGAATCTCATGTACCACATCGCTAAAAAAATGGGCATGGAAGTCCCTCTATAAAATGGCATATAACACGTTCTGTTGAAACACAATGCAAAAATATGGCCAATTGAATTATTGACAAGCATCGACTTTTCGATCCGTGTATCACGAGTTTTTATGAAGGTTAGGAGGAACGTTGACTTCATTTGGAAGTCGTTTTGTTTCTCGCAGCTGATGGTATGTGTTGAGCCAGGCTTTACCTGACTTGAATGAAAGCCTGCGAATCACCATCCTGAATATCGGTACTCTAAATATCACTATCTAATTGAGAGATTTTTATATTCGGTTGAAATACAGTGCGATGCATACTGTTTTTTAGCATTATCACCATATAATAAACGAAATAATCTAAGGATTTCGTTTGTGATGTGTACTTCCAACTGCATTACACTCACGTGAAAGAAACAATTATCAGTGATATTGGAGATATCGAAAGATAACTTGCGACAAACTCGGAGGCTGGATAATTTATCGAAGCCACTAGCCAAAGAAAATATGGAAGCTAGGCAGCATAATCAAGCTGGGGAAAAATGCGCAGAAACAGTCAGAGTAGTCGGCTTCATTATTAGCAAAAAGTAGGCTACTAATGTTGACCCTTGTCAGCATAAGACATCATGCCTAGAAATGCTCTGTATACAACTGAAAAGCATCACACCCTCAAAATCATCCAGATGTATTTTTCTGCAAGCATATGCATAGAGAATGGTATAAAAGCATTCTACAAGGAGCCGATAAACAAGCTTCTAATGTACGGAGAAAAATTTCACTTGTACTATCACAACAGAAACTGTAACGCGAGTAACGAAGGAAAAATAATGCGTTCTTGCATACTGCAAAATGAAATCCCCTGGAAGAAAATCGAATACCTCTAGCAGAAACGGGGCGACAGTTCCCTAACAGCAACTAGTTCAATGAGATGACCTGTAGCAGACGGACATGGATCGCACAAAACGCTAGAACCAAGATTTAAATTAGCTATATACTGCGTGACAAGCGTCACATTTCTTAAGCCCAGCATCATTATTTTTTTTCAGGTCTCTTCAAGCCTAATCTAAAGTCCCGCACTACGTTTAAATCTACGTTTAAGTTCAAGGCTAAGCATTAGAAATGCGTAAGATTAATGTCGAGCTGAATCGTCAATCTACTCCAGGTTATCTGTCTCACCGAATGGGTGTGTCCAACTTTAAGTACAAACGGAAACAAGAGCTTAATCTTAGCTGAAACTTTTATAGTAAATGTGCGCCTTAGATTAAAGCTTAACCTAAGTTAGGGATAACTAGAAGCATAAGATTGAGCCCAAAATTAATCTTAGGCATAATTCATATTGGCCTAAGTTCAGATATACATTTAAACTCATGCTTAATCAGAAGCATGTGGCAGAGCCACGCAGCCTACCTTGGAGTTTCTCCGCTGCTCAGACGTATCGCTAACTGCAGCGACACTGGTTTGCACAAGAACCATACTTACTATGAAACAGCGGCAGCTATATAAACGGAAATGTCCAATACATTTACATCTGATAGTGCCTTGCACTCTATTTAACGGTAGCCGCCCACCTTCCGATTTGTTTTAGACTGTTAATTACCCTCTCGTAATATCTTTGATAATCAGTGGGGTCGCAAGCAAATCATTATCTAGGCTTCCCGTCCGTCATTAAATATTCCTGCAGTTATTTTTAGATCTCGCAATGCTTGAAGAACACCTGACCATTTCTTTGAACTATTAACTTGCTGACTGACGGGCGTTGCAGAATGGCATTGCAGAATTAAGTATAAGTCTAAGGTGCTGTCTGTCTAATCCTAAACGTTAACTTTCAGCTTCGGTGCAATGCTAAAAGCCAAGGTTAAGGCTTGTCATACGCATCAACCTGTAATTATTAATAGACTTAAGTGGAAGATGGAATTAAGCCTAAACCTATGTCCCGGCATAAGCGTGAACGATAACATACGTTTAAGTTTGAGCAAAACCCAACGCTTAAAAAATGTCTAAGTCAAATCTTCATTCCAGTCCTACGTCTAAACGTAAGCTTGAATATAAGTATAAGTACAATCCTAAATTTGAGACCAGGCTCAAGCGTAAATTTCAACCTGAGATTCAGATTAAACCTAATTTCACGCTTAGGTGTTAGCGCAAAATGTACCTAAACCAAAGCCTTAGTATTAACCAAAGTTCAAGCGTAAGAATAGGTTTAAACCGAAGCCAAATCATGAGCCAAGATTTGGGCACATGTCTAACGCTAATCGAAGCATGAGCTTGAGTGCAAGCTTAAAGTGCAAGCTTAAACGCAAGCCTAAGACTAAAATTATTCCTAAGCCAAACACTGATCTTAAACTTGAGTTTTTCTTCAGGCCTAAGTATAAGATTAAATTTGAACATGAGCCGTATCTTAGTCAAAGTTTAGTTTAAAAATTGGTCTCCGAACAATCATGTTATCGGCCTTAGTCTTAGGCTAAGCCGAAGCCTAAGAGTAAATACAAGCCGAAGATCAATCCTCTGTTCAATTTTAAGCCATACCGAAAGCATAAGCCCATTCCCAGACCAAAAATCATGAAATCAACACAGTATCACGAAGTAAAGCTGATTTGCGGATTTAAGAACTAACTTGGTGAATAATCGAACAATCAGTAAAACCGAAAGAAACAGATAATAGAGGCGAAATGGACGATGTTCATGTGACCTTGACCAAATTCAAGTATTCTTGCTTAGCTTTGGTGGGCCTTCGTAAAACGCGAGTTGAGGTTGGGGTTATAATTTTTTATGCAACTTTATTCTAGCAAAGACATTGGCATACATAGATCCAGTTGTAAAATTTATCACAGTCACTGGATGAGTTGGTCATGCGATAAACGAATGCTATTTTTCAGGATATTCTTCCCGATGCGAATGCTGTGGGAGATCGCTATATCAAATCATTGTGCAAAGGATGACCAATTTTATGGACTTGTGCCGGCAATCATTTTAGCGCCCTGAAGTCGCATGTCAGCAGGCCTGAATGGATGACTGATGTGAAACCATACATTGTGTGCTTGAACTAGCTGATCCGTAAGTAGGAGTTTGTCAAGAGTTGAGAGAGGGCGAAAGTCGATGTTTTTCAGTTTGATTCAACCAAAATTCATGCGGTGATGCCAATTTCTTTAAAGCCTTATTGCAAATATTTTGTGTTTCGATGCAATGCACTCTAGCGTTGAATCAGATTTCGCAATAACGAAAGGGTTCCACTAATTTCCTAATGTTACCCAGGACGTAATTTCATGCCTTCCATTGTCCCCTGCGACACCGGATCCGCGGGACTGGTCTAAACGACAGCTTCATTAAATGTTTTCTCGGACCTCCTTGCCTCAGTTTATTTTTCTTTCTAGTCGTTATTACTTTCCTTCCATCAACGTATCTCCTTTTGGCTGGCGGATGTAGATGCATGCGAATGGGTGAAATGTGAGTCGGACGTTTTAGGGATGCAACCACATGACTGATTGGTTTAAGGTTGTAACGGGAATTGTCCTATCTGGATGACATAATGAAAATGCCGTTGGCGAAGTCATGATCTGTGATATAACAAAGAGAACTAACAAGGAAGCCGGCGAAATTCTTCAGTTTTTCACTTTATTCAGTGAGTGACAAAGTTAAATAGCATACTCGATTGAGCGTCTTGTAAAACGCCTCAAGCAGCATTAAACAAGCTTTTTATTGCACCGTAGGCCTAGACTGTGGCTCGTTTCCGGTGACAGTATGCCTTGATTAGGTTCACAAGATGGAACTCCGGCGTTGCCGGTCCCAAGCCCCGTTGAGAAAGGAGGAGGATTGGAGATCGTGGCAAGTATCCGTAAAACTTAGCCACCTGCCGTTCATTGTATTGACGTTACCTAAACTATACCTGCTCGGTCGTCGCCTGGGTTACTGAGGACCGTGCAGGCTGTTGGAGGACTAAGGCAGACTGTGAAAAGTCGGCAATCAGAACTTGCTCATCTCCTTCTGCCAGCTGGGGGCGTAGCAGCACAACGACGGCTGACTAAGATTGAAGGAACGACGACGAAAATGCCAGTCAGTAGCGGAGCCGCTACCCGTTCTGAACGGAGGAGGCGGGCAAGCGATTCCATTATAGCACGCCAGAAAAGGGCCCAAGAGAACGACACTTCTAATGGGAGCTTAAAGTCAGAAATTGGAACATATCCTCACTCAGAGGAAAGGAGCAACAGTTAGCTGATGAGGCCACGAAGTACCAACTCGACATTGTTGGACCCTCTTCAACGAAACGCTAAGGCTCTGGCCTCCTGAACCTCAACGGATGGCAGCTATTCGACTCAGACATCAATACCACGACTCGCGCTCAGGCCGGTGTTGGTGTTCTGGTAGAAATCAACATCACCGATGGAATTATAGAATCGATAGAAAGACAACGAGGAAGAATGCAAGTTCTTCGCATTCGA